GTCATCCAAAATTTACCATGGTATTTCAGCATAGTACATTTGGTTCTGAGAAACAACAAACAGAAATGATGGCCTTTTTAATGACTTCTTGGTTCCACAAGAGCTTCCTGTGTTCACTGAACTAGAAAACACAACTCGCTGTGGTACCAAGGCCAAGACCATAGAGTTGCTTGGCAAGAGCAGCCCATTGCCAGTCTTGCCAGTGTCTAACCAGGGAGCACCACTGATAGCTCACAGCTGGGGCAAGTGGCAGAGGTGTCTCCATGCCGCCTGTCTCCTGTCCTAAGTATCTTTCTTTGGAGCAGGAGTGGGCAAACAGCTGCTTGGTGCTGAGAGAAGAACAGAGCTGCTCAGCTGATTCCCCCACCCCTGCACAAGTGCAAGCAGCAAGGATCTGTCGGGTAGGCAGGGCCCAGGTGAGGGCTGCATGCTGCAGAGGATTCCCCATGCTGCTCCTCCTGCTGCCAGAGTGAAGCTCTCCATGCTGCTCCTCGTGAGCCAGCAGCAGGTGCAACAACCCGCTGAGGAAAGGAATGGCGCTACTCCACGGATTCCCCCTTTGCCCCTCTGCACAAGTCCCTCAGCCACTCCTCACAAGCAGCAGCCGGGCTGAGGGACAGCTGGCCAGTGGCAAAGAGGTGGGGCAGTGCTTGTCCTCCTTCCATGCCAAAAATCATGCACGATGAAGACCATGCAGGATTGTTTGTCCTGATGGGTGAACCCAACAAAATGATGCTCTATCTTCTCTCCAGAAACATGTATGCCTATGCCATTCCTTGCTCTTCAAAACTCCTATTTAATATAGAGGAGTATCTCCCTGTGTGTGGGAGGCCTCTGGCACTTGCCAATTAAAAACAAACACATCATAATGTTCGGGCTTAAAATCCATCTAACTTGCATGGGAATTCTGGTGTACTTATCTACTATACCTAATACAGATTGTATACTAAGTCTTTAGGCTAAATTAATGCATATTTTAACAATTTTTAAAGAGAAAAAGACTGCTCACATTTTGACAATTTAATTTAGAACTATATCCTCTCCCGTTTTTCAGAGACATTATATGTGTTGAGTCACAAAATAAATGGCTAAGCCACTCTGCAAATAATCCACAGTGGTCAGTTGTGCACTGAACAACCCACGGTGCAACTCACGCACAATATGGGTCACCATGATTCTTTTCCTTCTCCTTGTCCTCCATTCCTCCAGCAGGCTCTAGCATCCATCCCAGTATCTTATTTGCTCCCTTTTGCTCCAATCACTCCCCTTTTTGTTTGCAAAGGTTTTTTTTTAATCTTTTTTAGAAATCTCAAAAGAAATCAATTGGGATCATTTTAAAATTATTTTTTCTGTCTTAAAATTGTTTGCAAATTAAAAAAACAGAATAGTATTGTTGATCTTTTCCAAGAGTGCAAATTTGCTTTTTGGATGTCCAGGATGTGGTCTGGTCCAGTCCATCTAGATGTCTGTTTCAGCTGTCAAAGGGTACTGCAAAGATGAGTAGGTAGACTCATGCAGGTTGATTTGCAGACAATTGCTAGGGACCGATTGCCAAGTTGTAAACCAAAAAGCACTGATAAAGGGGGCAAAACACGGCAAGAAGATGGTGCACCAAAGCACTGGTGTATGTGTATTTTCTTGGGCTCCAAGATCACCACAGATGGGGACTGCAGCCAAGAAATTAAAAGACACTTGCTCCTGGGGAGGAAAGCTATGCCAAATCTAGGCAGCATACTAAAAAGCAGAGACATCACCCTGCCAGCAAAAGTGCATATAGTCAAGGCTATGGTTTCCCCAGTTGCAATGTATGGCTGTGAAAGCTGGACCATAAGGAAGGCTGAGCGCCGAAAAATTGAGGCCTTTGAATTGTGGTGCTAGAGGAGACTCCTGCGAGTCCCTTGGACTGCAAGGTGATCAAACCGGTCAGTCCTAGAGGAGATCAACCCTGACTGCTCTTTAGAAGGCCAGATGCTGAAGATGAAACTCAAATACTTTGGCCACCTAATGAGAAGGAAGGACTCCCTGGAGAAGAGGCTAATGCTGGGAACAATACATGGCAAAAGAAGAAGGGGATGGCAGGTAATAAGGTGGCTAGATGGAGTCACAGAAGCAGTTGGTGTGAGCTTAAGTGGACTCCGGCGGATGGTGGAGGACAGGAAGTCCTGGTGGAATGTTGTCCATGGGGTTGTGATGGGTGGGGCATGACTTCGCGACTAACAACAACAATGTGTGTGACAATATCTCCTCTTTAGCAATGGATCCTCTCAGTTTTAAGGGTGGAACTGGCAATTCTCAGTGTCTTCTAAACTATATACACAAATTCTATGGCTTCAATTTCAAGGCTGGGAATTAAATGGAGCTGAACTTTATACACCTGTAGAAACTGCTCCTAAAAGCAGCCATGGAAAGGGGTGGGGAGTTTCTGGAGAAGCTGGATGCTTGGCGAATGCTGAAACCATAGAAGATGCTGAGTATCAAGTTGACACATAAAAGCAAGAGGATTACACTGCTAAGGGGAGTACATTGTTCCTTGTGAACCTTTCGGAGCACTTTCTTTTGCTGTCCCCCTTCCCTTTACCAGTCTTTTTCCATTGTCAGCTTGGCAACTGTGTACAAATTAACCTATATGCAATATTACCTTGTCAATCCATTACCTACTGCACTTCGCTGTCTCTTTGACAGCTGAAACAGACAAGAAAATTGACTAGACATGACAACTGTTGGACAGTGCTAAGAGCACATCTTCCAAGACTGACAATAACAGTTTTTTTTAAAAAAATGCTTATGAACACAAAAGTGCATTTTCTGGGACTGGCTTTGAGCAATGGAATCAGACCAGGGTCAGTGGCTCCAAAGTGCTTCTTGGATATTGCCGATCACCACCAGTGAAGAGTCACTGGTGGCGGCATGCATGAGGGTGCAAAGAACAGCAGGGTGGTTTTTTTTAACCAATCTTACCAGTGGCTTGCTAGCCAATCCTTGCAACTCACAATGACATTTTTGGGATGCTGGAGATGTGTGAAGAATCCATCTTGGGAGCTTCCTGGGTTCCAGCTTGCTTTGACGCAGCTGTGAGTCCAAGTTCCTGGCAAGCACACGCAGCATTCATGTGGCACTTGCCAGGGACATGGAGCCCCGTGCAAATTCTGCACAAGAGGTGTGTCTCTTCTGCATCACATGCAGCAGCCTTGCTTTGTGCTGCACATGTGGAGGGAGGTGGAAGCAGGAGAGGAAGTTTGCAAATGCTGAATTCTGCAGAGCTTCACCACAACCCTAATAAGAATTGCTTGTGCTACAAAAAGCCCCTAGAATAAGCCGTGGTCTTTTAGCATGGCTTGTTCAGGCAAGTCATTGTGTAAGAAGTGCTCTTAATTCAGATAATAGGTCAACTACCTTGGCCACTTGCTCACGGAGGGTTGCTGTGCATGCAAACCAGGTTAACCTTCTTAGGGGAGACTGGGTTCTGACACAGATAGTTCTAGGACACCTCTCACAAGGAGGGGGTGTGTAAGCAGAAGCTTTGTATGTCTCACTAGATCCAGGCAATGAAGGGTTATACTACATGCAACATTAGTATATCCTTTAATTTCTAGTAAATGTAGTTATTTTTATCCAGGTGTACTGCACACATGATTTTCTTTTGTGTTAACATACAAAAAGCATCCCCACCCCATTAGCTTCTACATCTTGCATAAGGTTATAGGAAGATAGCCACAGACATAAATTTGAAAGTGAATGGCAAAAGGTCAGGGGATTAAAGTCAATGGCAACCAAATTCAGCAAGATGGGATCTACAGCCTTAGGCAATAATTCAACTTTCCAAGAGCAAAACACTGAGCTGCTGAGCATGTGCCTTCTCCTGGCTGAAATGCTTTCAACGGTAGCACCACCATTTGTTTGGGATGGAAAGCCAAGGCATGGGTTCATATAGCCTAGTACTGTTGACACAGGTTGGCAGCAGGTCTCCAGTGCTGCAGCCAGGACTCTTCTCAGCCCTACCTAGAGATGCCGAGGACTGAACCTGCAGTGTCAGTGTGCTCTACCACTAAACTGGTACTTCCTATTTAAACCTCCTGTCCCACTCCTCAGACAAAGAAATCAAATCAGACAGCCTTAAAGGAAATCAACCCTGACTGTCAGAAACTGAAGATGAAACTCAAATAGTTTGGCCACCTAATGAGAAGGAAGGACTCACCAGAGAAGACCGTGATGCTGGGAACAATTAAAGGCAAGTGGAGAAGGGGACAGCAGAGGATGAGGTGGCTAGAGGAGGTCACCGGGGTGGTCGGTGTAGGCTTGGGCATGGACTCTGAGGGATGGTAGAGGACAGGAGAGCCTGGAGGAGTGCTGTCCATGGGGTTGTAAAGGGACAGACACAACTTTGAGACTACACAAACAAACAAAAAAATCCCCCTCCTCTATCCTGGTTCCTGAGCAGCAATCTAGGTGTAGTGTGGGTGCTATCACAGGGATGCTTTTCAGACTTTGCACATGCTTTCTCATGCACAGATCCTGTGTGTACAGGGCTGTAATTAGATCCAGGTAGCCATACGTAATTCCTAGGCAATATATCTACAGAATGTTATTTTGAAACCAACATTTTGAATTAACCGATTTTACAAATCTGGGAAAAGTTCAACTATGTACATAAGAGGGCAACTTCTACTTATAATTTACATGAAATCAGCATATTTGCCTAAACTTTTAAATCCTTCCAAGAATCGTGGGAAAATTAGGACCATAAGGTGCTGTGATTGCTAAATAGACAGACAATGAAAAATAACCCTTATTCACGTTGTTATATTTCCAAAAATATATTTACAGTCTATTACAAAGATTACAAATGGAAGTGTCTATGTAATGGGATTATGTTAATTCAAATATTTTTGTTTGTTACTCTTTTTTACAGATTTCTTTTACAAAGGGGAAAAGAAGAAAATTAGTATAATAAAATGTGTTTTCTAATCAATCAAATAAATAAAATGACAAATATAACACTGTACAGTGCTCTAAAAGGAAAAATAAAAGCAAAACCAAAATGGGGGCAGGGAAAGGGCAAATGATCTATTTGAGTTTTCTGTCTCTATCTTTGGTCCTAAATGTGGGAAAACACATTATGTAGTGCTCAAAAAATGTTCTTTTTTGTGTGTGATGCTCTGTTAAGTAAAATAGAAAAATATAGTGCATTTTCAATGTATTCAGAGCTCACTGCACAGAAATGTGTGTACAAAACAAGACAGTATAAATAAAATGTACAAGTTTTACAAAGGAATATTTACAGGTATATATATATATATATATATATTTATATATAGTGGACACCCACATTATCAAACAAGACTTAATTTATATGAATGATCCCTGGGATCTTTCGCAATGAAAACCAATAGGAGCAGCCCAGTTCTCTTTGGAAGTAGAGCGATTCACTGCTGGGGTAGCTCACGATTTTCATGGTATTTTTGACAGCATTAATCACCTGTTTTGTATATATTCCTGCAACACATTTCGTTATTGCTTATGGTAATTCTACATTTCACTCGACTCAAGTACGCATATATTAAATTAAAACTGGTTTTTGTTCTGTTTTTTTAAAAAAGAGTTTTCTCACTCAACAGCTACCTTGTCAAAGTCTTGAATGAATGCATGTGTTTAGAGCAGCTTGTAAAACAACAAAAACGCATCAACAACAAAAGTTGAATTCTGAATTGCCACTTGCCTTACACTCTAGAGCTCTAATAGAAAATCCAAAGGCACCATCTGATAGGAACATCTTCTGTGCAAGCCCCACAACTTTTGCTTACCTCTCATTCATTTTATTGGGGCTTGAAAGGAGGAATGCAATCCAGAGAAAGTTAGGTGTACTTGGCCTTGTGAAATCAAGAGGCTTCTGTAGCCTCAGGCCCTCAAATTACATTGAATCTGGTGTGTGTTTAACTTTGTCCATCTGGACTGGACTGTGTCCCAAAGGTTTAATCCAGTGAAAGCTGGTTTATAGCTGGATCATAGGTTAGTGGTAGCAAAGCTCCACTTTTCTTCCTTCTCGTCCAAAGTGGGTTCCTACAGTTCTTAGAAAGGACATGTACATTGTGTGAACTGTGGGAAGACCCACCTGGGTTTCAGCATCAGGTGCCACAAGGCATTAAGTGATCTGTATGACAGAAGGCTATCATATGTGGGAGCATCTGTATGCCCTCTATCTCACAAGAGAATAACTTCAATGAAATCTCAATTTAGGAACAGTTAAATGCTAATTTTCTAGTAATGTGAGTTGTGGGTACATCTACTGTTCTCTGGACTGCATTCCTACAGCTTTATTTTTGCAAGAGGGACTACATTCAGCTTAATCTCATATTGACCATTTGCCAGTTATTTCTCCTAGACCTTCCGATATGGAATATTGGAAAAGTAACCACACAAACACACACACACAACAATAATGTGCTCTGATTAAAAGGCTAGGCAACATTACAGTACTGTACCTGTTATTTTTTTTTATACACCTACAATCATTCAGTAAAAGGGGTTTCAACAAGTTTAAAGTTGCAGAGTTAACCCAGGCAACCTACTAAAGCCATCTTTCAAACCATTTCTTTAAAAGTGCCTTGGGCTTTCTTTTTAGGGAACATTATTGCTAGATTCTCAGTTTATCCATTTCCTGTTTAAAGAGATCATGTGATTTAGTCATACAAAATTTTTGACAAAAATATCATAACTCTTGGCAACATCTTTTTTTTCCTGATTTCCTGCCAATTAGCAAACCACATCAATGTCATGTGGCATTAACAGATAAAAGTAAATATAAAGAAAGCCCTACCCTAACCCGACTTTACCCACCCAGTCGCCAGCCTCACGCACATTTCTCAGATACACTTCTTGTGTCTTTAGAAATCCATACAATCTTTCAAAAGTCCCCAGTGTAATAATGTGTTATACGCTTAGCACTAAGAAGATCCAAAGAGATAAATGTCACACTAAAATAAGGTCTGGATGAAGAAGGAACACAACTGATTTCTTTAAAAAAAAGAGTGAGTTGGAAATCAAAAGTTTAAGGAAAATATTTTGTTGATTTTAACAATATCATGTTTTTCTGACAAATATATTCTTTCTTTTTAAAATCCCTTATGTACAGTTTAAAAAGTCAATTAGATAAAAAGGAGGTTAGAGAGTTCAAGGTGTTCATAGGTGTTTCAGGTAGTACTTTGTTTATTGTCACTGCTTTCGTTGCCGCCATCGGTGGATCCTTTTCCCCTTTTTAAGTAACTTTCTGGTGGCACTTAGGAGTTCAAGTCTGTAGGTGCTTCTTGTGGGCCTTCGACTGTCTGCAGGAAGGACCCCGAAAACCATGTGTCTTCTAGCAGCACGTCATGGAGACTGAAGGCCAGCACTCTTTCTCGAGTTCGTCAGCTCCCTCGCGAGGGAGAAATGTCTATCACACTTGTATGCCAGTGCCATGCAAATGTAACATTTGTGCTCTCATAGTCTGAATGCTGCTCATGATTTTCTTTTGGTGGCCAACCAGTGTGATGCCTAGGCTCATGATATCACTGGGGAGGGGGAAAGAAAAATGTCCGAGGTTAGGCATTTGGCTGACAGTATACGGGGAACGGAAAGAAACAACAAAAACATTCATAGAACAGCTTCTATTTCGTGCACCTGGGATGTCAGGATAGCCATGCTGGATTTTTCTGGCAACCATTTGATGATTTAAAATGCTCTCTGGACAGTGAATCAAAATGAATGAAAGGATCATTTATGATTGTGACTATCTTTTCAGGAAGCGCCATGAGTTCTCCAGCTGCATCACAGCATCCCTCAAAGGAGATAGTATGATCTTAGCTTCAGAATAGTGGCCCATTTATATTTTTTTCCTGAGTCAATGGGGGAACAACCGTGCACATGTCTGTTCAGATGGCAGCTCCCTCTGATTAGATGGCCCAGGAGGCCCCTTCTGACTCGCTCTCATGTTTCTATGATTTTAATGAGCCTTCCTCTCAATCAGTGGGCCTAGGATTGCATCCTGGAATACCTCAGGTCTGGTAATTTGGAATTAGATTCCTGGGGTGCTTGACTGTCACATATGACCTGGGTCATTGAAGCAGACTCCCGAGGGACTGTCTGTCAGGTTAGAGGAAGACTGGGGTTGAGCACCCTCAGATCTAATAACATCTCCATTCATCAGGAGTTGTTTGTGGACAGAGCATCTGATGCTTTTGTGCAGCTCCTTTCTCAGACCTAGAGATGGCTCTGCTAGTAAGCATCTTCTTGAGCCCTCTTTCATTTTACATCATTTTTCAGCAATGGATGGGAGAGACTTACACTCAACAGCATTTCATTGGAAATGGGGGAAGGGGCCTGGGCAGTGATTTTCATGAGCCCAGGTTCCTTCCTCCAGCTCTAGCTGAACAAGCTCCATCCCTGTCCAACTCCAGTTAGAAGAACCCAAGTTGGTGGTTTTCTCTGACTGAATCTTCAGCTTGTACTCCTCAGCATCAGGACCCACAATTTTTCAGGTGTTTGTCCTGGGGCTGAATGAGGAAGGAGAAACAAGTAAAAACTGCCATGTATACATCTCTTTCAGAGGGAAGCCTCTTCCAGAAGTGCCTCTCTTTACAAATGGAAGAGCCCAGTCTCTGATCCACAGTAGTTTCTCTGCCTGCAGAAAGATGCAGCTAGTGGAATAGGACTTTAGCAAGCTCTCCTTTTCTGCTGCACTCTCCATCCCTCCACCCTCCACATCTCCAACTAATATATTTTCACATTTGGCTGTGCTCAACTGGAATGACATTGCTGCCCCTGCAGAAAGTGCTTCTGCTCTTGTACCTCAGGACACCTGATCTTTGCAGATCCCACAACCTACCTTGAATCAATTGCTGAGGTTCAGGATAGCCTCCAGAACAGAATGGAATAAAGCTTCAGTGCTTAGAGGCAACTGGTGAAAACTGGATGACCTGACTTGTGTGAGCAGAAGCACTCTGAACTCAGGCATTCCCCCTGATTCCTAAAATAGTCAGCCTATGTTTTACTTTTTGAAGTGCTGGTGGGCACCTGTCCTTTAAAAATACCCCCAAGTCCTCCTTTATTTCTAATGCCTCCAACCTCTATACTTGCTGCTGAAACTATGGTACCTTGACCCCCTCTGAATACCATTTCCATAGCCAATATTTAAAATATTGGGCTTTTGTGTCCAGTTTTAAAATCCCAGATACATCAGCCACTTACTCAATAGTCATCCTGGCCACGGTCTCAAGGTTATTGTAACCTGCAGCTGAAAAGTTATCTTTATATCTTTCCATCTTGATAGCTTGCAACCATTCACCTACAGAGCAAAATGTTGTGAAATCAGGCGTATTCTGGTCCAAAAGTGGGCTGATCGGTCTAGATTTGGAGGAAAAAACATAGCTGTTATTAGAAAGCTGTGCAGATAGAACAAACACCAGAGAGCTTTTTTTTTTTTTTTTTAATCCTGAAAGGAAAACGATGTAACAATGTGCAATTTGCTTAAAGTCACAGCAAGCACTTTAGGAGTTTCAGAATGTTTTTCAGCACTCAGAGGAGTCAGGTGTGTGTTGGACTACTTTCCCTATGATCCCCTGCCAGCATGTGAATTGCAGTATAACATGCATAATGCATGTATACTGTATAAAATGCAGTATAATTGGCTGTAAACCATCCTGAGATGCCTTAACTATGGGATTAACTATGCGACGGTATAGAAAAGTTTTAAATAAATAAATATCTTTGGAAGGCATGAAGATAAAGAAAGTTTTCTTAGAACAAGGAAAAACCCTTTTTAATAGCACCTTGCTTTAAACTATGAAAGAGTTTAGGAAAACAGAATATTTGTTATATATTGGGAATCAGTGATTATCATTATGTTGCATTGCAAATAGTGCACCATATCATATTCCTGCAGAATGGGCTAGAATCTATAGAAATTCATGTAAGAAATGAGCCTTGGTCCAAACAGCTTGTGTGCAGGTTCAGATAAAAGTCACAGAGGAATGTACTGACTATTATATGACTTTTGATGCTGGATTAAGGTACAGATAAAAGCTTCTCCTAAGGCTTTTTCCCTTGATGTGGTGTTTGAAAAAGAAGCATCTGGAAAAGAGGCAGAAGCAGCCTGTTTTTTATTTTTCCAACCTTCTGCAAAGATCTTTCTGTAATTCTAAGAGGAAGACCAATTTTCTCATATACACTTATTTGGGAGTAAACTTCATTAAACACGATGGAACTTGCTTGGAAATGCACAACCATGCTATACATTATTAATAACACTATTATATGAGGAAAAGCATTCACAGAGAAACAAAACAAAACAAAAATATCTGAAGAGAAACTGGCATGACACACACAAATCATTCCACCTAGAACCGTTCCAATTTCTTTAGCAGGGATAGGTTGAAATGATGGAGTTTACAAATTGCTATTATGAGCAGATAAAATAGGACACTGATCAATTTCTCCTTGAAATGAGGTGGCAAGAGGCAGCCAATACTGTTTACCTGCTAGATGCTTCCTCTTTTTTGTTCCATTATTTACCTAGACACAATTTATGAGGGGAAGCAGCAAGACGTTCTTAGTGTTGGCTCCATCTCATGGAAAGAGCTTCCAAGTTCACTTAATTGTTTTCCTCACCATCTTTCACCAATATAAAATCACTCTTACTTTAAAAATTCAGGAAAACATGTATATGGATAAGCCTAGCTATGTATTGCTTCTGTATACCTTTGTTCCTTCCTTCAACACCAAGCTGAATTCAAGGGAGCTCGCAATAAAAGAATAAAAAATCATAAAGTGCCAAGTCATAAAGCAAAAACAGCAGTAAAGCAATGAATGGCAGCATTTAAAAGAGAGCAGGTCAAGTCCTGTGCACCTTGCCTGCCAAAAGGCTGAGAGGCAGGCATGCAACGAGGGGAGCAAGCTAGAAGCCTGCTCAGCAGTCTGGGTGCTACACTGAGAAGGCCTTATCTCTTGTGCCCAGCTGCCGTACTTCTGATGCGAAGGGAACACAGATGGCATCTACAATAGAGAATAGTTCCTGAGCAGAACCTGAGACAGTTTTGAAACACTCCTGCCCCAGGCTTTAAAGGTCAGGAGTTAGAACTGAGTCCAAAAACACACTGTAACCGGTACAGTCGGTAAGGGAATGGAGTACTATGCTCCCAGCCCTTTCCGGAATGCTGGCTGCCACAATTTGCACTGTTTCTGGATGTTCTCAAGGAGAACTCTCCATTGGGATAAGTCTGCCTTCTTCCTGCAAGGGTGCAACAGATACAGCTCATGCAATTTGGGGAAATGCACTCCTGGAGATCTAGGAGCAATTCTAAGTTGCAGGTCTGATGCTTCAGGTGTAGTAGAACCACACTCACAACAGAAAATGCATCCTCCCTGGATCGCCAGCATCTCCATCAGCATCTTCTATTGTCTGGATTGAGCTTCACTGTGTTCAATCACATGCCATCTAAAATAGTCCCTAAGCACTTTCATTGGCCTTCTAGTATCTGATTATGGAAGCCAGAGGTACTGGAGGCTATCCATATATTGAGCGCGCATTTGGATGTTTAACAGCATAGGGGACACAGACAATCCTGTGGCACTCTGAATGTCATGAGGAAGACTGGTACTTATTCAACATTGCTAGGGCCTAACCTCAGGAACCTCAGGGTTGCCACGACACAGTCTCCCTGCAGGCCAAGGCCAACTAGGCACAGAGAGAGTCCATGCTTAGTCATTTCAAAAGCTACTAAAGGATGTGAAAGAATCGGCAATGGTGCAATTCCCATGTGGTTCTCCTACAAACCATCACTAGAGTAATCATGGCAGATTCTAGCAAATGAGTATAATCCTAATCAGTATTATCAAGGATGTCTGGACTATATCTAGTTCTTAGTTTTATGACAACCTATGCACAACATAACCTAGATAACTGCTAGTTTGCCTTTGTACAGGTATCTTGAACATGAGTTGCTTGTACACTCCCATGCAAAGGCAGATGGACAGACAAGCCTAAAGCCTGGTCTACAATTTAGGAATGTCATCACTAACTTACCTGCTACAGGTTCCCAAAGGAGTTTTCAAACTGTTTGGGTTTCGAATCATCTTGTCCAGAATGCCGACTATCTGTTCAAACTTTGGCCTTTCCGCACGCTCTTTCTGCCAGCAGTCTAGCATCAGCTGGTGAAGGCCTGCTGGGCAGTCCATGGGTGCTGGCAAGCGATAGCCTTCCTCAATTGCTTTTATAACCTAATAGCCAAAGCAACATTGTTTTGAATTGTTACAGCCCATGAAGAATCAAGCAGCCAAATTAAGCAATCAAAGCTTTATGAAATGTATCTTTCAAACAGAGCCTGTTGTTTTGACACGTGCATTCATGTTGCTGCATAATAAACTTGTTTTTATTTCCCATGCTTATTAAACAGATTATTTTGTGGTGTATGCTGGGAACATGGTTGCATTACCTACTCAAATCATCAGCAGGGAACAGCAATTAAATTCACCAAGGGTGCAGCTGATAAATTGATACATGAGATACTCTTTGAAAGCAATAGCGTTTGCCCAATAGGATTTTTTTCCTTTTTGCAGGCAAGCAAGAAGCTTTTAAATTAACAGAGGTTTAGGCATTCCTCCATGCATTCTGTGCAGGAAAATTATCTGATAATTTGTGGACGACGAAAATATAACTTTCCGTAATATTGAGCATGACAAGAAGCAAAACTAGAGTTGAATGCAATATGACAAGAGACAGACAGCATGGCCAAGTGATATATGAATGACTCATAACAAGAGTCTAGTACTAACAAAAAAAAAGTTGCACACTGTGATATGGGGCAGGGGACCTAATGTCTGCAGGAAGAGATACAACCCACAGTTTGATTTCCTAGCAAAGTCCATTTGGAATTTAAGTAAAAAATAGGCAGAAGGAACTTGGAAAATCACAAGAAACTTAAATAGGCCCACAGGAAGAATAAAAAAAAAAACACAGTGGGAAGCAAAGAGCTGATAAAGAGGCTTGTATAAAGTGTTAATACATTGGAGATTGGGGTGGGAGTTTCACATATAGTGACACTGACAGGCATAGAAACATTAGATTTGTTAAGGAAGAGTGGTTTTTCCTGAATGGGAACAGATGAGCTCTTTTGCAGTAGACTGTAAAACAAAAATGTCAGTAGTTTCTTCTGGGATTAGCCCTAGGAAATAAAGCTGCCATGATGCATCAAAATATATACATACATGCACGCATACATATGTGCAATGTCACACAAACACACACTCTGTTCTTATGTGTGCAACATGCTAGAATTTTGGACTGCAAAATGAAAGATGCCTGGAAAGAATGTGAATCTATTCCAAGGAGCTCTGTTATGCAGAAAACGGCAAGATGAGGCTGTAAAAGGTGGTAGCATTGTGTAACATCATAAATAGAGCTATCAACCAAAATATGTATGACTAAATGAAGCCAACTTCCTTCTGGTTAATAAGGAAATACATGCTGCAATGTATACAAAACAAATTTTGGTGGGGGCAGTGAAATAACAACAAACACCCCTGGCCTTGCTATCCTTCCCTTTGTAGCAGCCATTCACGATACTACCCATTCTGTTTGGACATTATTCAGTTTGTATCTGTTTGATTTTGAGTCATGTGCATTTAATCTCCTATAATTTTTTTATTTCTTGTTCTATACCTCTGCTTACCCAAGACTGTCACTGAATGTTGGTAATACACACAGGGGATCTAGGAGTTGTGTTTTTTTTTTTTTTCTTGCTTCAGAAATCTTAAAACATTTTCATTTCTTTATATTTGTAAAGAATTGGCATTATGAAGATAGCACGAAAAGGAAGGCAATATAGACAATGAAACTAAATGTTTGTTAATTTTGGATTGATAGCCTTGTCGTACTGTTAGCTGTCTTAGCAATTCTTGTGTATATTAAATTCTTGTGATTTAAATAATAAATAAAGTCACTGCAAGGCATGATCAACACAATTCCTTTAATTCTTAAAAATACAATGAAATTTAAATTCAGACACTTACAAATATAATATGAATGATTCACATTATATTAGTTGTTTTTCCATGTTATCAAGTCATCTCTGATTTATGGAAACCCCCCGTGAATGAATGTTCTCCAAATAGTCCATTTCCCCCCCTCTGGTGTGTAATCCCTGCGGTAATTCCTCCGAATTACACACTAGAGCTAAAAAGAAAAGTGAAATGCCTTGTTGATCTCCCACAGTAATTGTAAAGCAATTATTTGCCTGATTGGTGGCAATTGATCCAGAAATCCAAAACATGACCATGAGAATGCTGAAGCTGGAAGAATATCTCATCCAGATAGCAAAACCCGAATGTAACAAAAGAGAAAATTGCAGTAGCAAATGAGAAATGAATTAGAAGACAAGCTCGTAAATATATTTTCTTGACAGTGAAAAAATCCAAGCTGATAAGGAATCATTCACAACCAAGCAGAATAGTGCTCGTTTTTTTAAAAGATTATTTTTATACTCATAGGCTCAGAACACGTAAACTCAGACTTGCAAATGGGCAGTTTTATTCATGACCATAATGTGCTTGTGAAAAATGTAAATAATAAAAACATTAAGATCAAAGCACAATAAAGATGGGAAACAAGCAACAACTACACTGGAAAAGAATAAGTGGTCAGTTTTCACATTATGTCATTTTATAAGAGGCAATACTCTCTGTATTATTTATTTATTTATTTATTTATTTATTTATTTATTTATTTATTTATTTATTTATTTATTTATTTATTTATTTATTTAGGGAACTTCTATGCCACCCCATTCGCCGAAGCCTCAGGGTGGCTCACAATCATAAATAAATAACATAATATAAAACAATATAATTTAACAGTATAAATTAAGTCAGCCTGGCCAAAAAATAAAATAAATAAATAATATTAACAATTAAAATAACGTTTGTATTAAGGAGTGATCACATTTTACTCATCATTTGAAATAAATGTGGAACACTTTAAATTTACAAATAAACTGGATAAAAAATTAAGCCAACACAGCAGAGAAACAGATCTTTAGATAGACCTGTCTAACTATTGCTATTTGAAATGAGCATCACAAAAGGTTTGCATGGGCAGGTATTCCTTTCACTATTTAGTGAATAGCAATAATACTAAATGTAACTAACATTATTATACTAATCTAATACTAAATTTGAACATAGTTTTCATTTTCAACAATACCACTACACATTTCAGTGCAAACTGCTTCACCAAACAAACTTTTAGTGCATTTATATGAGCAAAACTTAAGCAAACCGTAGGAATGTTTTGAATGGTTCTTCTAAATTGTAAGCCTTCAATTAGTTTAAAAAAGTGTTTCAGTTTGCTTCTGCTTATCAAAGTGGCTAGTTTTTCCTTTCAATAAATTATTTTAATGAAGGTGAAATCTCTCTGTCTGGAATTAGTTAGAAATTCTAAATGCAAATAAGACAAGTTCAAGTGTGTTTACATGTAAACAGTTTCACATTCTAGGTTTTAAAATAAAACAGAACAGAAACCAATTTCTATAAATATAATAACTCTCTTTGGCATTGTGGTTGCCTTTGGTTGCATTTTCAGTTTGTTTTTTCTGATTTGCCTTTTTCTTTTTACTCTGCAAAGTAGTAGGTATTAGGTAACCTCAGGAGACTAAAAGCTCCTTTTCAGTAGCCAGGAAACACATCTTCATCTATGTTCAGCTTAGAATATATCTAGGCTATGGTTATCCATGTCACTGTAGGAAACAAACTGAAAACTCCATTTAGACAAACGAGTCTAAATTTGTCTGTATTCAAGCCCAATGCAAAATTTCTGCAAGAATTAGAAAAATATGATTTGCCAGAGTTGTCCTTTTCTAAGAGTTTTTTGCTTAACTATTTGAGATTTTTTAAAGATAGGTAAGCTTTGCTTTGAGGCATCTTATATTCTTGTCAGACACCTTTTATGTTTGAATCTAGTACAGAAGGAAGGTGTCAAAAGGAATGAAACTCTATTGGGTGTCTAGGGAATGTAAATATTTCTCTTTCTCTGCCCCAAGGACTTGTTTGCCCATATTTTGACAGTCCATGAAATCTCTGACACTGAGACCTGTCAAATATTAACAACTTTGCGCTCTGCCAAACTGATTCATCATATTCATATATAGCTACCAACCCCTACCCCCGTACCAACGTCCGCACAGTATTTATCAACACAGAAGCATGTTATTTTTCATGAGGAAATGAAATTTCATTTGGTGCATACCTTTTCATTTCTACGTATTATAAAATATTGAAAAATGGGAACTAAAAAGATGATACCAAGATGCTAATGGTAAAAGCACACATTGCATCAAAAAGGGCCTCCCCTGTGGCACCATGCCCAAACGTTCTCCAGAGAACGGCCCTCATATATTCTTCCATCATATTGATGGAAGCTGGAAGTAAATAAGTAAATAAATATTTGCAAATGATCCAGGACAAGCATTTATTAGACACTAGAATAAGCTATTGAATAGTTCCCTTTTCCAATGAATGAATGAATGAATCTATCCATCCATCCATCCAGCCATCCATCCTATGACTGGAACAATTCAAAGCTTCTCTTAATATGAAATCTCACTGAGAAAAACATGGACAGTAATGTAAATATAGTTATGGGAAAACCAGTCACCTCGAGTTTGTGATACTTTCATAGGATACTTCTGCAATGTACGATGCCAATTCTATGTGGAACTCAGCTTCAGCTACGATGAGCTAGAGAAATCTTCAGCAGACTCACCTGAGTTTGAATTTCTAAGAATCGAACCTATGAATTCTGCAGTGGATTTTGTGGACTTGCCCCATTATATATGTGGATGATTATTTGCCTCCTTGTATCCAGTTTTTTTTCTACTAATTTATGTTTTTTAATTCACCATCTTATCTGTGTATGCTTCTCCACTTGCAATAGCCATTTAGTAAGCAATAAAAGACTATACCATTGGTGATTATAAGAACTTATTTTATATTAAGGTACTTTATATTAAGATGCTTGTGCATTTGGTTTAATAAACAGCAAATTCAAATATATATACATTTACTCTGTTCAGAATCATTTTATAATGGAAAATATTGCATGTACTTAAGATCTTCTGATGTATTCTTATATGGAAAACTATCTTATATAGTTTTATTCACAAATTCTACCTAGTTATTACCTTACATTTATACCCTGCCTTTCTTCCTCTTGGAAGAAACCTAAGGCAGCTTACAAGTGTCTCCTTTAACTCATTTTATCCTCACCAAAACAACTCCTATGAGGGAGGTTGAGTTGAAAGTCACCGGCTGTCCCAGAATCACCCACTGAGCATCATGGCCAGGTGGGAACTGAAACCTGGATGTAGAGCCATCTCATACTGTCTCTCTAGTGAATGTCACCTGTAGATCATAGGCAAGAGAAAAGTAGGACGTGGGAGGAGGCAATCATAGCATTTTTGAAACTTACATCTTGATTTGACATGTCCCAGTAAGGCCTCTCTCCGTAAGACATTACTTCCCACATAACTATTCCGTAACTCCATACATCACTTGCTGATGTAAACTTGCGATATTGTATAGCCTCTGGAGCTGTCCATCTCACTGGTATTTTTCCACCCTTTAGAAACAGAAAGATTCTCAATCAAACTAACACAGTGATCATGATGAAACCATCTGTTTAATTATTCCTTTGTCTTGTTTTGCATTATACTGCATTTATTCTTTTAAATATATCATGTATATTTAAATGTATCATACTTAATATTTTTAACAATCCCATGACATTTTAGGTTTTTTAACAGTTTGACAGATGCATTGAGAACATTAGTTAATGGCTGGTTTAGAAATGTAATAATAAATAAACAATCTGCATATGAAAGATGTTCGTGGATAAGTACCTTTCATCTAGCAACCATAAAAGAATACTAAAATTGAGGAGCTTTACTATGCCTATGCCTTAGATGTTGTAAGATTTTCACTTCTACAGAATCATAGGGTAAATCTATTACTGCATCTCTGCAGACTCCTGCAATGATCACATGTTGAAATTAACGTGTGGTAGTTTTCGTGTGATTGCTGAGAGGTCAGTTTTCTGCAGTCCAGAAAGTTTATGAAAATGCAGGCAGTAGCTAGGAAAGCAGGAGAGGCTGCATTGTGCAGATGCCATGACACAGCAGTTGGAGAGCAGAGAGAGGTAATAAGTGCAGATGTGGGCCAGTGACATGATCAACCTTCACCAAGCATTAGTGAATGTTCTCCAGATGTTGCATTGTGCGATGATGACCTTCCTAACGAAGTTTGTAAATAATGGGCATGTAATATGAAAGCTCAGTCCCTGTAATGCGCATTGTTATTATAAGCCAGGCACCTTTAACCTGAAACGCTTACTCAATGTATAATTAATACCAAGACTACTCCAAGCCAATTGTTCCAATTGTGCAACTGTGTAGTCAGACATTGGCAAGGCAAAGAACTGCTCTTGGCACATGTTCAGAACATGATTACTTTAACCTTTCATTCAGTCTCAATGAGAAGCTGTCTTTGCTTCTGATGCTTGCACTCTGATCAGTCCAAGCATCCCTATTGCTGCAGGCAGTGGTGCAAGGTAGTTTCACAATAACAATCAGCCATCTAAAATCCCACTTGTATGTCATGCTGCCACTTCTCAGCATTAGTCTCTTACATACAACTAAAAAAAACTTGGCAGGGGCGTGGATGGAGATGACATGATGCTCTTCCTGGAGAGGCAGCCACCCACTTCCTTACTTGCCTCTTCCACCTCCATTTGGACTTAAGATGGTCAAGAAACAGGAGATTAGACAATGCACTGTTGCCATTCCCCACATTACAGTTTCCATGTGGCACTGCAAATATGTGTAAGTGCCAAAACATTGTGGCTAATCTAGAATTTTCTAAAGTTTTTTTTCCATTTTAATTTTCTACTTTCCCTTTCATATAGTTCCAGGATTGGTCCTCCTCCCACGAACTTCCTTTAATTTCAATAAGTGTGTGTGTGTGTGTGTGTGTGTGTGTGTGTGTGTGTGAGAGAGAGAGAGAGAGAGAGAGAGAGAGAGAGAGAGAGAGAGAGAGAGAGAGAGAAGCGCTATCATATTTTTAATCCTAAAATAATGCACAGGTTTCTTGTTATGACTGACTGAGAATTCCTTTGTTTTTGTGGAAAAGCACAAGATAGTTTCTAAGTAGTCCAGGATGACAGAATTATGTTCCCCCAATGAAAGCTAATGTTTCTAAATAGAGATGCTTGAACTGGAAAAGCATCAGAGCTTAGGGAAGGTGACACACCTGTGCCTGAAGCTAATGGGAGATGCATATGATGAAACAGCAGATAGAGAGTTTAGAACACAGAGATAAAGAGAAAGAGGCAGAGTGAGAAGGAAGTGATAACTGGATGGAGGCACCTTGGTTGCAGTGTAGCTTCCTCTTTGGAACTGTGATTTAGCTGATTTCCATGTTGTAAGACTTGTGTATGCTGCTTTCCCCCATTTATGCTGCACTACCTTGAAACATTACACAACTATCCTGCTTGCATATTTTTAAAAGAGCAGATATTACAAACATTTGACTTAACACTAGCACTCCCTCTTCTAAAGTAAACCAAACACAGCCCCTGCAAGTTTACATTGCTCAGGAAAGACCTAAGTGTGCAACAATATACTTGAACGAGGTGGGTCCTTTTTTAATGCAGAACTTACTGTTGTTGTGTAGACAGCTTCCGGGTCATCTTCTATAACTCTGGATAGGCCGAAATCTGACACTTTACAAACAAGATTGCTGTTGACCAGAATGTTACGGGCCGCTAAATCTCTGTGCACATAGCCCATATCAGCCAGGTATCTCATTCCTGCCGCAATTCCTCTTAACATCCCCACCAGCTGAATTACTGTAAATTGTCCATCATGTTTCTGGAGCGAAGACAGAAGGAGATAAATACTTCTTGGTGCAACTGATAGGTAAGGAATTAAACATGTTTAGTCTCTTTGCCCTTTAGGATCTGTACCGCACCTGATGTGTAATGCACACTTCCACAGGCCACACACAGGACTTAATCAGGGCTCACACATATTCATCCGTAGTTGTTGCAGTACAGTCTCTCCACCATTTGAATTCTCTTTTCCTTTTTTGCAGTAGCACAAGGATACGAGCCGGCCTATTTGTGAAGGACTACCGATCTATAAGCCCCAGTTCACACTGAATGCCCTCCATAAGGGTGGGGAAGTGTGCATGTCTGATGGAATCTGCTCTCCAGAGAGGTCCACCTGGCGCTGACGTTATATTCTTTCCGGCGTCAGGTAAAGAACTTTTTATTTGATCGTTATTTTAACAATTAATGTTTTTAAATGTTTTAGGATTTTATTTTATTTTTTCTCCCTTTTCCCAATCACATTTCATATGGGTGTTTTAAATAGTTTTAAGAATTAATGTTTTTATAGTAGTTTTATATTTATTGTATTTTTATATATTTCGTAAGCCGTCCTGAGCGCATGAAGTGATAGTACAGGGTATGAATGGAAATAATAATAATAATGGTAGAATGCACATGATGGAATAATCAGTGTAGCGGTCATTAATGTTATGGAAAGAAAATGCATTTCAAGGGCAAAATATGTCTATAACAAAAGGTGTGTACATATGTAGATCCATCCATCTACCCATATATGCTATATATTATGCAAACCTGCAGAACTGCCTAAAATAGTGTGTGAGAGAGAGTGCTTGCAGGTGTAACAAAAATTTGGGGAAAGGGCAGAAATGCGAAGTTTCTTTTTAAAATCAGTGTTGGGCAACTTTGGGGGCATTCCGCTGTGCTCGTGATTTGCTGGACTGCAGCTAGGCTGTCTTATACTTGGCAACAAAATATATTTGCTTCTAGTGCTCATATGTGGTATAGAACCGGCAGCCATTTACCCCATGGTGGGATGTCATGTTGCTGGGATTTTTCTAATCATAGGGGCCTGCCTGATCACGGAGAAAATTTCCTCACAACCAACCCTGCTCATCTATTCACACATCTACACCTTTAATAAATAAACATGCATTCACACCTTCTCTGCTAGTTCATATGGCAAGGAAGCAGTAAATGGGCAACTACAGGGAAAAGACACCACAGCACACTTTGGAATCTATGTGGTATATTTAGCCTTCTGAACTAAACATACTTTCTGTCCCCTTTGGCCTTGCAGTGTTTACCAAGTTGCCTACTAAAACTGGTTATTTGATATAAAAAGTTTTTAAATTCCTTTAGTTAATTCTAATGCAGGTACATTTTTCAGTTCTTCCTTTATTTCTGAATTATTGCTGCACTTAATTTAAGGAATCTTTCTGTTCAACTACGCTAAAATGATATGAGTGTGATTCAGAAGCATGTGTACCCACACTGTGGCTTCAGGTCTCAGTCTATGATGGTAATCAAAACCACAATTTGTGTCCCACATTGGATCACTTAGATGGCCAAAAATATTTTTGTTTGATCCCGTCTGGTCTTCTAATTTCTAATCTGATTTTACTGAGACCATTCACAAAGATATTTTAATGTTTGGCATGTTCTCATTTTACACTGAAAATGTTTTATTATGTTTTATTATGCTAAATTGGTAGCACATATATTTTATTTTTGAAGTGCTATATATATATTTCCCTCCGGCACTCACTTACCCTGAGAAATGCATCCAGTGCTCCATTCTCCATGTATTCTATTACAATCATTACTGGTTTCCCTTGAAAAATAAAAATAAATAAGGAGGCACATGTTAGTTAAAGAAATCATAATTTGAGCAGGCCCCTGCCCCTGCCACAATAAAACATGTGTTGTTCCTTTGAAGGGCTGAAGGGCTGAGCATAAATGCTCCTGAGGTTCCCAACATAGTTACCAAGATCTAATAAGACTTTCCAGGCCTGTGTGCAAAATATGGTCATGATTCAGAAAATTAAACCATATGAATTGAAATGTCATTGTGTTCTGCTAATTCCTGCTGTGGGAGGAGGTTTCTGGGGAAATGACAGTTCAGATAATATGAAAGGACATAAGAAAACTTATCTTCCTACACAGTATCTGAGATTAAATGCAATTAGGAAAACTTTATATTGCAACATTCTTCATCTTTTCATTATGCATGAGTTTTTTTCCTCAAGTTGTGACATAAACTAGACATTGCTTTAGTTAGTTACAGATCAAGACACAATTTGTTGTATATGGTTGCTTTGGCGTTTGTTTTGTTTGTTTATTTTTGTAAGCATCCAGAGACTTTAGTATTTTAAATGAAATAAAAAATAAATAAAGAGAAACATGTGTATTATAAACTACAAGTACATTTTTCACTTTTGAATCACCAGCAATGGAAGCTTCACAGTTACTTAGAACAGTGTCTGGGAGTCTGATCTGGTACCTACTTACCTCTGGTAACAACCCCTTCTAAATGTACAACATTAGGGTGGTCGAATTGTCCCATGATGCTTGCTTCACAAAGAAAATCTCTCCTTTGCTTTTCGGTGTATCCCACTTTTAAGGTTTTGATGGCCACTGCAACATCTCTTTTGCCTGGAAGCTTTAAGCGCCCACTGCATACTTCACCAAACTCTCCTGAAATGGAAAGCATACAGCTCGATCAGAACATATTCTAATTCCTAATGATATGAGAGCAGGAGTCAGTCCTATATACTTCTATGAAAATGGAACATTCCCAGTTATTTTATGCCAGTTGTGGATCAGATCACTATCCCATGGAAGCTGAACCTCTGAATAGGGCTTTCCTCTTCAGGAACGGAGATGGAGCAATGGAGTGACTGTGCTACAGCCTCAGGGAGAACCGCAAAGCTGCAGATCCATTGAGCCGGGCCATTCTTCCCTCACCTTCCCTGTCTGGGTAGGAGGAGAATGACTCAGGACAGTGCCAGTGCTTCAAGGAACACCTGAATCTGTTTCATTTCACCTTCACCTTTGATCAGTGATGGAAAAGTAAAATCAGTTGTGTATTCGCAGCATGTCTGGAAGAGCTACTGAGCAGAAGCCTGGAAAAAGGAGAGGAGAAGTGAGCTGGCTGTGCATTCAGCCAGTGCCTGGAGGAACAGGTCGTCCAGGTGCTGGCAGAGTCCCCTTTTCTACATAGAAAGGGGTGCAGAGCTACTGCTCTGTGCAGAGAAAAGGGCACTGCCTCCTGTACACAGGGGAAACACTCTCTGCCTCTCAGTTGCAGTGAAAGGGAAAGGGGCCAGGTGATGACACAGCACAGGGCACCAGGGTGGAGGGCTTTGGGGGAGGCGAACCTGCCCACTAACCTCATCTGCCCAGTGGAACTGTCCCAGGTAACACTTCTGCCTTCAGCAACAATCTGATTTTCCACCCATGGCGTAACCAAATGGAAATTAATCACTAAATTGTAACTACAAACTTGTACAAACTTATTTGTTGGTTTGCTATGTTTATTTACATCCTGCCTGTCCCCAGCGACAGGGACTCAGGGCGGCTAGCGGGACCCAACTGGACTTCAGAGCAGACAAAGACAGAACTGTGCTGCAACAGTTTCAGTGATTCCACTAGAACTTCTTTAAGAAAGGCTTTGTTAGCATTGCCCAGAATACTTTACTTTGACAATCTCAAGGTCCAAACCATCACATTTTAGCTTCTCCTACAGCAGCTTGTGAAAGCTATAAAGCCTTTAGGCTTTCACCTAAGGGAGAAAATAGCGTGGTAGACAGCTAGCAATGGTGGTGCGTAATAGGTGGTATCATGGACATGTCAGCCGAAAAAGAAGAAAATTACAGTGCCCTCATCAAACATGTGCATCACTATTCAAAGAACTGAGAGCTTTTACTCCACAGCTGATTGCACCACAAGAGCAGAGGAATATTTTGATGCACTCGTCTGTCTGTCACTTCCGCAGATATTCCATGTTTTTATATTTGCTATAAAAGTCTGGCACAGATATTTTTCTTTGCCTTTGTCAGCCAGTGCAACTGGGCCATTTCATTCTTGTCTTCTTTGGTAAATAGGATCCCTAAACAATAAACAAGCCCAGTACAAATGCTTATGCTGCACATGGAAGGAGCTTGTCCTTCTAGATTCTGTTTGTCCAAGACAGAAATTAATTTTGTTTTTAAAGATCCAGCTGAATCAGAATTTAGGTCAGATTTGACAAGAACGGGAAGCAAGGGTTGTTAATTCAAGGTCGTTATCTTGTACTGCCTCCAGCTGCTTTAGCCAAGCACCCTCACCATTATCTCAGCTAAGTCCTAAGACGGTGAGTGCTTGCAGTGCTTGGAGACTTTTCTGCAATCTTTGCCTACCAAGGAAGTCTCATTTACTATTGACTGCTGATGGGCAAGTTCCCAAGGCACATGTCAAATTGTCCTGAATTTATCCAAGCTAACCCCTCTCCCTTGCGCCCCCCCCCCCCACAAATAGGGATTTTCTTGTGGTTAATTTACAAACCAGCCTAACTGTGCTAATTTGTGTCAAGGTCAGCCTTTCAAAGCAGCACAGGCATGCTTGCATTTCTTTGTACGAGGGGCTGATTTGAAGAGCTTTTCCTGTAAAACTAATGGCTGAGGACAAGAAATAATTGAATTGTCCACCAGTGACCCTTTTGTTTCAGCTTTCACGGAAACGGCTCTTCAAAGCAACAATGGAAAGACATATCTGTTTGCATGGAAAATCCAACTCACATGGGGAGTTTGTTTGCATCGTAGGAAGGAGGTGCTTGAGCCACTTCTTCAACATGCTATTAAGACTCTGGGTTTTGGTGAATAATATGTACAAAAGGTTAAAGGTTCAGCTGGGCACTTTTTACACCCTAAGCTTTCTTTTAGTTGTTTTGCATGTACCTACTTAGGATGGGAAATTCAAAACTACATAGTACAGTGTTACAATGGCCCAATAGGAAGATAGCCTTAATCAGATAGGACAGCAGCATCGACAGAAACATGCTCTAATTTCAGTGGAAATTAAAAGTTGCAAGCATATGCTGTGTGAAAAAGTGCACTGCATTTAATGTTACTGAAACACTGATCAGTATTGCCTATTGTTACACTTCTCAGGCAGAATGGGTGAGTTGGCAGGTTATGCTAAGCTACCCTAAGAATAAGCCATAGTGGGCGGGTGGCTTGTCCGTTACTCCTGCTAGATGATCAGTATCTTGTTATGGCTTAGTTCTCTATCACATACCCCAGGACCCTTTGCAGTAGAAATCCTTTTCCTTGTTCTATATGGATTTGATTTTTAGCCTGTCCCTTTAGCCACAACGCTCTCTCATTCTTCGTGTCAGCAACCTTCCTGCAGTTGGTCTACCGGGTTTGCTGACTGTCAAGGGAAACTTCCTTTTCCTACATTAGAGCACCAAAGCATTTGCAAGTCTGTGCTCTTCTGGATCCATTCACAAACTTTGTGAATTAGCCATCTCCGATTCAGCTCAGCACAGACACATCCCTGTCAATTTCATCCTGTTTAGTGCTTCCATTGCTAGCAAAGACCCTTCTTGGAAAGGCTACTTCAGGTTCTGTTGAAGATATATCATCCACTTCTAAAGCTCCTTCTGCCAGGCAGCTGCCAGCCACTCCCCCCCCCTTGCTTTCCTATACTGGTCTCTGTTGCAAGCTGTCATGGTACAGGAGGGTTACAGGGCAGCAAGTGGGATCACTAAGCACAGGCACATTTCGAGGCAAAGTAGGACTGAGAGGGTCAAGGGAGGGCTTTTTTGTCATAGAACGCACCGGAACAGCGTTCCGGCACCTTTTTTTCCAATGGATTTTATGAAGTGATTTTGAATTGTAGCAGATCAGCAGCAAACATCATTAACATAGTGCCTGCAGGCTGCTTTTGTGTCTGCTATCTGATAGTGAGATAGTGAGGGCGCTGCTCTTGGCTTGGGACGCTGCTCCGCTGCTCAGCTTGGGATTGGTGTGTGTGGTCATGCGCTTACTGCCGGCGATGTGAGTTCTGGCACCATTTTTTTTTTTTTTACAAAAAAACACTGGGTAAATGTATGCGGATTTCACAGCAGACAAGGGAGATGAATGGGTAAGCATGCATGAATTTCAAGGCAACCAAATGAGGTAGATTGCTAGAAATATGCATGTTCGTGGCAGCACAGTAAAACAGAAAAGGAAATGGTGCAAATTTCAAGGCAGAGAAGAAAACATTTGGGGAAAATTGCACACACTTCTTAGCAGTGGAAAAAAAAAAACCCCACAGTGAACGCATCTGGGATACTCTCTACTGCCCTTTCTTCATATTTCTGTGAAAGATAAAATAAAATAAAAATCCATCCTGAGGCAGAGGGCACTGGGGATGAATGAAGGAGAAGACTAGCCCTACTGAAATTACAAGCAGTGGCAGGAATGTTAAATATTTTCTGGGAGGTTCTCTAGCAGCTCATGGCAATGCATAATAAAACTGTCTTGCCAGGTGTGCACATCACCCTGAGAACCACCCATCCTGGTTCAGATGTCATACTGAGCCACCCTGCAACTAGGTGTGAAAACAACCCACTGCGGTACAGCCTGACCCGTAAACCCAGCCATGCAACCAACCAATCAGTAATTATTTCATATTAGCTTTTTGAAATAACAATTCCCATCTTTTCCAATGAAGAATGAATGCACTTAATTTACAACATTAGCAAAGGATGAGTTACATGTGATAAGGGTGATTTAAAGACAAATAGGATTCTAGAAGTACAGCATAAAACAACAGGAAATCATGAAATGTTTCCTCCAGGAGTCACAGGTATTTGAATTTTTTCTTGCCCACGGATACTTAATTTCACTTTATAAACTAGAATAATAAACGTGTCACATATCTTATTAATGCAAACAAATGGAAACAGGTTTCCAGAACACAAACACCATGACCTAAGTATGTGGAAAAAGGAAGACAAGCAATGCACTGTAATGACAGCACAATTACCATCACTCACAAATGCCAAGACAAGGAATTTTTTTAGCAATGAAATATGTTAGAGTGGCATAAAAAGAGACCCCATGAAAAGCTTGCTTTATAGAAGCAAATCCTGATTATAACAAGCATGATCTGACTTTGCTAGTTGATCCTTTGCATGTACACATAAACAAGCCCAGCACTGGAGTTTAACAGAATATATTTACACAAATATATTGCCCTCAGGAGCTGAGTTCAAATGCACTTCCTTCTATTAAAATGCACAAGAAAGAATACAATTATTTGCATTTACAAAATGCAATAACATTTTAATTTTCCTAAGTGGAAATAGACACACACATGTTTGGGACCACTGGGTTGGTTATTTATTTATTTTACATTTACGAGCAAGTGAAGATTCATTGCGTCTAACCATGCTGGTACAGGCAAAAAGCTCCATGCGCGAGATATAATTATTTGCCTGTCATCATGATGTATGAGTTTCGATCCTAGCTAAATGGAAGAATTGTATAAGGAAGCCACAGCTGCTTACCTGCACCAATCACACGCTCTATTTTAATACAGGAGGCATCTAACTCCTTGGCGAATTGATGGACAGCTCTATTTGGATCCTCGTAGGTTTCAGGGTCAATGTAGGTTTTGGTGCCTGGAAATTTAACTGTAATGATGTAAGAAAGCATGACTGTGATGAAGCAAAGCACTTATTGTGCAGCCAGCCCCGGAGTTTCATTATGCAAAGCGAAGCTCCCACCAAGGGGTGCTTCCAAATGGATGTCTCTGAGCACTACCAGCCAAAAGACATCCCGGTGCAATTCCTTCTTTCCCTCCTTAATAATTAAGAAGAAGAATGAAAGAAGCTGTGGGAAAACCTGGGAGGCTTACAAATGTATGATGTGACTGTCTGGATCCTCCACAAATTTCCACAAGGGTGAATGCATAATAAAGACATATCTGGAAGCACCCCAGTCCTGGCGTTCCTCAAGACACATTTCCCCAGCTCCTTACTGTAATGGTGTAGAATCTGTTTTCCAGAATGGCCAGTTGGGTGGGGGATGAATAATGAAGGCCCTAGCTTCAATTCTGTTGCCATAGTCACCACTCAGCCCAATTTCTTTGTTTGTCCTATGCAGATAACTAGGAGGGCCAACCTGTGGCATTTCTTTGCCCCTGAAAAGTCCAATTACAGATTGCTGCCTTTTGTTGTTCCACAGTTCTCCTCAGCAGGACCACTTTTACTAACTATACCATTTTTTGAGCAACCCAGCTGTTATCAACTTCCTGAATATCCCAAAAAAGCCACATATCAAAAAGCTACACATGTATTCATGTACTCTAAACAGGAGGTGGCTATTAAGAATAAGACACATAGCAGTGAATTGGGCTGTGGGATTTCTCTCTTTCTTTTGTTTATTACTGAACCACCTAATCCAAATGCCTCTCCCAGAATTGTGAGTGCACTGGTAAATAGGGAAGTATGCAAATCAGTACCATAAGGAATCTACCTAGGCGTGTCCATTTGTTAACCAGGGAATGTAGGCACGGACAAATTTGCTCATTTTGGTTCCTCTCAATTTCCCATCTTAAATTCATTCAGTTTTGTTTTGTTTTTAAAAGTCTGTGAGTACCTTTCTTAATACTTGGATTTTTGTGCTCAGGTTTATCCAATATATGCATTTTTGCCTAATACGTACAAGTTTACATAATATACGTATTTTTTCTAGCTTGTTATTAATACTGTTGCATTTTGCACATTCCCCACTTATGCACACTTTGTGCATACATATCCCAAATGTACCATCTTCTTATGTATTGTTGTTCTCTGGAGAACTATTATACTAAATTTTGAAAAATGTATGTAGTCAGGAATAACTGCATTCTGGTTCATATATTTATTCAGGAAGTATGGATTTAGCAAGTTCTGAACAAAATTCTCTTATCCTAATGAGATCAGGCATGTGCATTGCTTCTTTATAATGCGTTACAATTATAATGCAGTTACTTTTGTCTTTTTGCAAAACAACAGAAGGTGAGAAACTGCGCTAAAAAGAATGTCCTGGGCAAGGCACTGGCAAGATCACCAAGACACACAGCTGTTTGGAGCTCTTAATGAAATAGTCATGGATCACACATTAAGCAGGTGCAACATGCATTACAACTGTGGCAACTGTGTTTTTCAAAACAGTGCTATGGGAAAGCAATGCTCATGATATGGAGGTCACCCCATACTGATGATGTGTAAGAAATTATTTCGTATCTTCTCCAGAGGTTAATTTTGCAGCATTGCACTTTTCAATGGGTTTTGTGCTAATCATAATGATAATGGCTTAGCTTCTGGAGCTGATAAGTACTCATTTTTTATTTACACCCACAAGAGGAAGGGAAAGAGAGCCGAAAACAATAGGTTAACCTCTGTATTGTGCTTTCAAGCAAGCAGATGGAGAATGAGCTATCCTCTTGCACTTGTGATAAGGGGTTTGGATTGGAGGTAACCTTGTGCATCTCAAATGGGTCTCTGATGGTACTTTATTCAAGCTGTCATAAAACATTTTGACAGGCCAAAGCTTTCTTGGCATACTAACATGAAATAGTGCTGCCTCAGATTCAAAGACATTGTTACAAGAAAATGGTAGGAGGAAACAAAATGTAAATTGGAATTGGTCGACTAAACTCTTCCATTGTGTTTATACCTTTAAAAATGTAGCACTAGGGGTTATTGAAAGTTGAGGAGAATTGAATGAGAAGACTGGACATTGCATTAAATCCATTGCTCTGGGAGCTAGTGAAAGGTTGTTGTTTCAGGTTACCACAAAAAGCCAGGCTAATATTTTAGCCTACGAGGAAACTGTCCGAATATCACAGAACCAAAGGATGCGAAATTGGAAATGGCTGGTGACTACAGTATAGTGTTTAATCTCTCCCTGGAAACAATGATCATATCAAATTATGTACTATGCTGTCTACCGAAAGGTTCTGTAAAAAAAGTCAGATAAAAAGAAAATCATAAGACTTTGGACTAGGTTTCCTGGTAGGTAATCTTTTCTGACAGATTTTAAACTTCCCTCGATATCGGATAAGTAGATTTCTTGAAAGGAATACAATGAACGAATGAAGTGTTATTTTCAATTTCAGTTTCTGACTATTAAGGCTAGGCTGTTAACCTATTTACATTTTCTCTGAAACATATAATCTAAAAATAGTGCATGCTGGGGAAAGGCATTCTTCAGCTAGCCGTTTCCCTTTCCCCATAGACAGACGTAAAAAGAAAAACAATTAATTTCCTTTCCTTCTCAGACATTACCCGGCAGGGAATGTTTACAAGAACTCAAAGTATTGTAAAGATGTGAAGATTCTCACCATAACCAAAATGAAGCAATGTTATAAAGGCTCTCACTCCCTCAGAGCATCTCCATTTCTAGAGTGGGGTACTGGCGATTGCTTCATTTGTAAAGCAAGCAACAGTCATAATGTGATAATCCTGATTCCCATTACACTTTTTTTATTTGTTCAGAGAAGCTGGATTAAAGCTGGAATACATTTAATGCATACTTGAGTGCAATAGGGAGAATCCAAGTAGTAGTCTTTTGCTTGTGGAGCAGGAGGAGCATGAGTTTCAACAATTCCTTTTCCTTCTCAAACCCCTGTATCTTGCCCATCTGCCCTAGAAATAGCACAATCCTCCAGAATGTATTTTTCAGAACTGTGGTGGTGCAGAGGCTCAATGGAGGAAGGTAATTGCTGAAAATGTTTTCAGCAACTCCCCATTTCACTAATGGATGCTTTCTATCAGTGGAGAAAAACTAAGTGGATTCTGCCCCATGAGTTAAATATTGCTATGTCTAAACTCAGGGAAAATGAATGAAAAAAAAAAAAAAACTATTTTTATTTCCAAGTGTAGGAAAGAGAAAAAGGAAAAGAAATCTTTTTCATGACTTGGCATTGACCTGCATCTCTGAGTACTATTGGCCAATGCTAAAAATGGAAGTCCTTCCAGAATAACATATGGCTAGTACTGTAGCATACTAGAATCTGATCGTAAACGATATCCACAAAATAGTAAGAATCTATCAGAAACAAAACATTCATAACCTGGGACTTGCTACCTTGTGGTGATATGGTGGCAAAGAGTGTTAAAATTATTATTATTACTATTAATATTACTGCTACTCTTATTATTGCATGTCTGGCAAGAAATAATCCCTGGCAAAACTGGTGAAAATTAAATTAGAAAGAAAATAAGCTACTACCGGTAGTACACAATTTGTGTTTTTCATCTCTGCTTATGGAAAACATCTCCTAGAGGAATGGATATTAGCAATTTCCTGCAACGATCCCTCCCCCATGTAGTCCCCATCCCACTTCACAAAGTCTTCTGAAGGGCCCCTCCAAATTCTGAAACCTATTTTGGATCTATGAGGGAAGCTGAAAGGAAGCGAGGCAATCAGAAAAGCAGATATTCCCATTTCATATTTATCTTGTGATCTGCTATTATATGAAACCTGACACTGGCATTATCTCATATTCAGTCAGCCTCGTTTGACAATTCAGTCATTGTGTTTAGTAAGCAAAGTGCTGATTTGTGGCACCCATGTGATAAGTAATTATAAGAAATGGACAAAGCAGAGCTCTTCATTCCTCCCTTGTCCTGCAGTGTCCTTATGCCTCCATCTGCTATGGAGGAGAAGGTACCAGTAGACGAGATTTTACTGGGAGCAGAGAGAGGGGAGAGTACACAAAGATTGCTGCAGAGTTCTGAGTGGAACTACACTCAGGAAATGGTTCTGCTGGTAGAAAAAAGCTGGAGTAAATTCATGAGGCAGTGTATCATGGTGCCTGTGCTCTAGGAGGACCCACCAAAAGCACAACAAGAACTTAAAGATCCTTCAGCAAAAAGAAGGTTCACTGACTTGAGCCATGACAGAAAGAACCATTTCCTCCATTTTCCAGGACTGGTGGTGGAAGTGCTAGGTTTGGAGTGCAATGGAACCAGCAGGAGTGCATTACCAGTACTGTGTACTGCACATCATGATTAGATTAAGTTATTTTCACTAGTTGACACATTCTTCTTGGAGCACAAAGAACTTTAAAGTTAATTTTTTACCAAGTGTTTCTTGAATAATGCATTTTCTTCAATCATTTAATTAATCAACCAGATGTAAATAGTAGACTAGAACTGATTTAAATTGAAATCCTTGTGAAAGGCATTTGCAATCAATTTTTATTGAATCATATTCGCATCAGAAAGAAGGGATCAACAAAAAATGCCAAAAGAAAATGAAGGTACATTTCTACTTATGGCATGTATTAAGGGAGTATTGTCAACAATGTTTTTAAATGAGAAAACACACCCTTCATTTAATAACAGATTCCGATTTCAGAACTGTTTGTAGAACTTAGCCCATCGATGAAATCAAGCCGAAGTGATCTGTGTGTGGAAATAGGCTTTTACATAAAGAGGGTTATGTGGGAATTGATCCTGAACATCAAAGAGACAGCAGTGGAAAGAGAACCCTTATTAAGTGCATATAGGCGCGTTCAAAATGCTTCTGCTGAAAGATGATTGATTTCATCCGCAGTGATCCACTTTAGGGTGAAAGAGAAACTGGATTGAGGCAACCTGTTATCTTTGTCTCCTCTGCAGCTGATCAGTGCTGAAGAGCGAGTCTGATGTTGCGTGCAGCTATTTCTGCCTGACGGTATAATCTGAGGATGTGCTCATCAGTAAGAGTTTTCCCATTGATTTCAATAGCTGTCTTCCCGCAAATATTTGCACTCACAACTCTTTGCTTGATTTACATATATCTAATTGTGTCCAATGTATTCAATAAGACTCAATTTCTGTGCACAATTATATCCACATAAGTCTCAATATGATAGAAAATGCATGAGTATCACAGGACCACATTCAGACTGTACATTATTTATGCATGTAATCTTCCTCAAATATGTTCACAAATATCTGTTTCTATATTTACAGCTAAAACAAGATTGATTAACTTAATAAAATCTGAATTGATTGACTGAACTATTTTCATTATTTTGGTTAGTCAATGAAACAAATTATGAAAGTAAGGGTGTTTTTACAAGACAAAGCAAATTATATCCCCATCCCACAAAAAAGGAGAAAACTGTTCAGATTTCAGATAAACAAGCTGGTGAAAGTCATATTAGCTACTCAAATGATCAGTTTTATCTATGCAAGTGCATAGCAATTTACTAAAAAAGTTGTATTGTTTAGGAACTATAGCACAATAAATTTAGATGTAGTCACCATGGTATGCACTTAACTCTCCTGGGTAAGTTTTCTAACATACTGATGGACTGGGTGAGTTTTCACAAGTTTATTTAATCTTTAACAAGTTGACTTTACATAACACATTTAAAATGACTATAATATCTCTTTTTAATTATAGGAAGAACACCACAGTTTTACACCTTTGATAACTCTATGTGAGAGGCTTATTTTATTAAAAATCTTTTTATACTACACTATTGAAGAAAACTTATAAGGTTGAAACACTCCTGATATTGATAGGTCTTTATATCTTTTTAGCACCTTATGTTTCCAATTTGATTTATCAATTTATGTTTCAAAGGCTGCACTTATATAGATAAAGCTGATTCTTTAAACTTATATAGCTTTCAGCAGTTTTTTATCCCAATTCTTCTATTGAACTACTGGGAATTTCTTTTACTTGATTGTCTTAAGCACTGGGATGACTGAGGAACCCTCAGGACTAAAGAACTTCATAATCAGAGACTCACTGATTTTTTAAAAATTAAATTGCATTTGGGCTGACAACTACCAATCATAATATCTCATGGGGGACCATTAGGATATTGTGAAACACTTATCCAAAAGCAACCAATGAAAATGGGGACTGGAAACAACCATGCATCACACAAATGTACAGCAATAAAATCTGTGGTGTGAACAATGTTGATTTTATTCTGTGTCCTTTTAGAAGAGGTCATACTTCTTTTACAGCTTTTAACTTCACACTTGCTGTTTACACAGCATTTTAAAATTTATTATAGTTGTTTCTCTCCAAGAATGTTGTTTTAGTATTGTCTCTATTCTATTACTGCCAGTCCCAATGCATTATAATTGGTCTGGAAATTCCTGGGGGAAATAACAGCAAAACACTTACAATGAAAGTAAAGTTCTTCATCTCCCTCTTGATCAGCTTTGCTATAGCCACAATGCCTGCAAAGTAAGAAAAAAGGAGAAAATACAGTTTTGCTAAAATATGAAATTTTCTCTCTCCCTCCATATATACACACACACACACACACACATGCATTCACATTAATACTTTACTATTACAATCATGAAAGGCATACAAGAAGTCTAAGTCTAAAATCCTTACACATTTTAATTCACTCCCATTACAATCCATACACTAGCTGGGAAAGACAATTGGTCAGGAGGTGTGCATGTCTGTGTGGGAAGCATTGCATTTTGGTGAAAACTTGTCTGTGCCAGGAAGGCATTCAGAACATTCCTGGCAAACTTGCACAATCAGTCTCTGAAGCTTGACCTTTGCCATAAATATTATGATGAAGTCAATGAAACAATTTAAATAACTAGTGGGTCTGCTGAATATCCAGGCCATATTTTACTAACATTGCTATTGAAGAACATGGCTATTAGTTCTAGTTTTTTATGACTGTTTATTGATTTCTGTGCTGTTTATTGTTTTCCAATATATTGTATTTAATTCTTGTACTATTGCATTTTACCCTTTAAATATTTGTATTCTATTTTATATTTTTAACTCTTCCATATCATTTCAGGGGACCGTTTCCAATCTACGTGGAGAACATTAGTCATCCACAAGATTAGACATGTAATAAATATAATATATCAAAGGTTAGATGATGTTAATCAATTTTCGCTCAGAGTAAAAAGCCAAAATTGTGGTTTTTAAATGTATGCCACACTCACACCCACACAGTAGTCTATACATGGGCAAGCCAGAATCATGTGCTGTACAAAAACAGTTGCCTACTAATTAAAAGTCACTAGTTCATTCTAAGATCTACTGAATGCAAAGTGTCTTAACTCTTGAAAACTGTACCTTCGTCCAATGATGAAGCCAAAAACCATGAAGACCAGAATGATAGTGCCTGCTACAGCTACCACTGCTATGATTATTACAGGGTTCTGTTCGCTGGAGACGGCAGTGGCTGCCAGCAAGGAAAAGGAAGAGAGAGTTAGAGGCAAGTTAAATGCCTATTTCAAAATGCAATTCTGAAACAGAAGCTCATAAAATTAGAAACTGCTGAATATACAGCAGGCTATGGAAGCGGTGGCTCCCAGATGTTTTAGCCTACAACTCCCATGAGCCCTCAACTCCAGCAAGTCTTGCTAAGGTTGATGGAAGCTGTAGACAAAACCATCCGGAGGCCCCAAATATGTCTGCTTTTTGTATGCAAGTGCCATCTTTCCTGACCGAAAATGCAGGATGCACATTTTACACCATGTTTACACCAGATTTGTTGCTTTATCTTGACAAGGGTTCTGTGTCTCACTAGTGTATGACAAGCACACATATTAATATGTGTGTGTGAATACTACATCTTCATGTCAGGAAACTGAATCTGTTGGCCTTCTGCCCGCTATTGCTTCTGTTAAAAGCACATATTGATGGGGCTTGCACCATACATTAAGTCATGGTGGTTTATAAACTCTGGTGGGTTTAGTGTGTTTTCTGAATGCAGCACTCCTCCCACAGAGAGATTAATAAACTACACTGGGGTAAGCTTATAAACCACTCCAGCTAGCCATGGTTTGTTTTCAGGTTTCACATGGTTCTCTGGAGCGTCCAAACCCAGACAATAAAATAAGCCATGGTCAAGTCAAAAAACCAGAGACCTCCCTGGCAAGAGCAATACAGATGCTTCCCACTCTAGCCAAGAAGTTAGCCAGAGGGATGCCCAAAAGCCAAAGCAGCACTTGGAGTCAGCTGGTTCTCTATTTCTCTGTTCCACAGACGATCAATATAACATTATATTTATACCCCACCAGGACTCTCTCCAGGCAGCTTGCTGAACCTTCCTTCCAAGATGTATAGATACATTGTTCTCACGTTCACTGTTGGTATTAAATTACTGTCCATTATAAGCAAAGTTTACCTGTGGCTTCCTCTAGTGTAGCAACATCTAGTCTAGGGCTATAATTTCCATAGCCAGCAGCAGTGAATGCCCGGATCTGGAAAACATATACAGTTCCTGGTTTCAGATTATTCACCGAAGCAGAGGTGGCCCTTGTTTTCACTGTTGAGTAAGTCCTCTCCCTTTGGTCCTGCAAACACAAATATAAATAACTGGCAAGTACTCAAAATTCAGATTTCAATTTTGCTCTGTGTTAGCAATTGAGAACTGCTTCTGGCTCTCATCTTCAATTTCTTATGAAGGGTTGTTTCTCTCACCCCTGCCATTTTCCCACATAAAAGAACGTAGCACACTCTATGGAGCATTACAAAGTAATGTCATTTCATGGAGGGGTTCTTAAAATAACATAAAATGTCAATGAGAAGCACATGGTATTGCTCATAAAATTCTGGAGATAAAGTCATTGCCTTCTTGTGTTTGATTGTCTGAGGTATTAACTTTTGCTGCCCAATTAATACAAATACTGCATTATTTCAGTTTCTGAATAAAGTAGCAAACCGTATCCTAGAAATGTATTTTCCTCCTTTTTCCCACTCTCTCTAAAGATGGGATGTTCTTTTATAATTCTTTAATAAATTCATAGCAGCAATTATTTTCAGCTAAGCAGGAAAAATGGAAGTCATTCTATATGACCTTACTCTTTCTGGATTCAGAAGCTTCATTCTGCATATGTTCCTCATTTTCCACTCTTAAATTCTATTTGTCCCATGCTTTGATTTAAAATAAATGTTCTATCTATGTTCACCAGCATTTATCCCAATATGTCATTTTTTCCTATGATACAATTTCTTTCATAAGGTATTTTTCTAATACAATGCATTTTAATATTATTTTCACTAATATAGTGATTGATGTGTGCAGCTTTTTATCCATCTGTGCATTTTGGTACACTTTTTTTAATGAGAACATCCTCTTGAAAAATTCAAAGCAGTGCATCTTTTGAAGGATAATCAAGTTTGGGTCACCCATTGGTTCTAAAGTTGAAAAATTAGATAAATTCAAAATAGAAATAATTCCTCTGCAGTCCCTATACTCTGGCACCAACAGCTGCCCATTAATCACAGCAGAAACAGGAAACATTTTTGTGAATGGGACAACTGAAAAGGAAAGTGGTACTGTGTTCACTCAGATACTCAAAGCCATGTTAATTCCAGCCTGGTGATTGGTGGCTATTTCAACCTTTCATACCAATTACTACAAGGTTCTCAGAAATAACATAAACAAATTATAAGAACTGATGCACTGGGAAGGAACCAGCTACTGCATAACTTACTGAAATGAGCAGTAACTATACAAGAACACTTCTGTATTCTCACACAGTTATTGAAAAAGCATTTCAATAGGATTTGCCAAGAAGAATCCAACAATAAATTTTGCCTGAAGTTACCATATTTTACTCATGCTTTATCTATTTAAATTATACCATTAAGTATGAATTTGAATTCACAGTTTGAATACACCACATACTTAGTTTAATATCATTCCTATTTAACAGTACCGTTATTATTTCAGGGACCCCTAGAAATTGTAACTGTTCAAGTGAGAACGTATAAGTAACTCTAGTAGGTGTGGGCAGGGAGTGGAAAGGACTGTGGATCTGTTTGGTACACATTTTAATGTGAATCTAATTTTATTTCTTCAATCAGTACATATACCTTTTATCCTTCACTGTTTGCACTTTTCCAAATTTTACAATGTAGTTCTCCAATCAAAAAATACACCCCAAACTGTGTACATCAGGTGAACAGTTATAAAATAGGGAAACAATCCTTGCCTGGATGTGGAAATTGAGTAGAGCAGCTTTAAGACTTCCAGGAAAAGAATAAAGAATTAAGATAAACCAAAGTGGATATATTTGACCATGCCTAATCTATAGTCTAATGAAAATTCTCTGTACCTCATCAAACTATAGTTTCCAGCTTTCTGTGGCAAAAGCTATGCCAAGCTGGTATAAAATGGAGAAAGTTTCATAATACAGATTCTTCTAAGGAAGAAATGCTTCAATATTGGTTGTGGATGGGAAACTAAAACATGTCTGATTTAGAAAATAATTTATTCTGACAAAGTATTTAAACACAAATTGCTAATTTAATTATTCATATATCATGCTTAAGTTAAGAGGTGAAAACAATGGACGCACAGACTTTGTTAATTGCAGTGTTATTTTAACACATTATGAATCAAGTTGTCCTTTCTGGCAGTATGTTAAAGAACAATTTGTTGTATTCCTCTCAATTAATTAATTATTCCTAAAGCACAGAAGAGGGAATGAGGGAGGAAAAAGAAAAAAAAAAAACCCTAATCAATAGTCAGAAACAATATATTGTAATATATACTGTGAACATAATTTAGATCAGTCTCTTGATCTAACAGGAGCTTGTAAGTGTGCATATTATAATCAGGGCTATCAGCAATTAAATGTTTTAGTGGATTAACTGCCTATTAACTGCTTAATCCATTGTTGTTCTATAGCACTTACTTGAGAGTAAGTCCTTGTGAGCAAACATATACAGGACCGTATCTTAACTTTTCTTAATTTTCAAAATACTTTATTTAGGGTCTTTTGAAAATTTGTAAGCAATCCAGTAAGCACAAGTTACTATTCATTGTTAGAAAGACAAAATATTTAATTTCTTTATTCATACTTGTTACAATCAGTTGGATGCTCAAAAAAGAAAAGTGTGTGCACAGCAATTGCATTTGCAATCACTGATGAATCAGCTAAAACTGATGAATCAGTGAAAAGTTGACTGATCTGGTGATTTAACTTATGGCTCTTACTTCTATTCACCAGATCCACAGGATTTCTCAGAATTCTAATCCAAAAATGTTGACAAGGAAAGAAATAGAAAGCTATAAAAGAAAAGGAGGAGGGAAAGCAATGGAGTCAGGGCAGGCAGTGCCTGGTCTATACACAAGATAGGATGGGAAGAATGATGCATTTCAGAGTTATGCTTACTTTCTCATAATACTTGATTTCATATTCTGTGATGACTCCATTGGGATGTTCTGGTTCCTGCCAGGATAGCTCCACACTCCTCTGCAACACTTTCTCTTTCATTACACCGCTAACCTGCGAGGGAGCTGTTTGGAGAAGATGTGTCAATAAACAACAAGCAAATGTGCTGGATGTCACCAATCAAATGTCACTGCTGATCAGTCTCATGCTGTGCCACCACCATTAAGGTAAGAGAAAGTACCTTCCCTTAGTTCACAATTCAAAAGCTAATGAATATTCAAGCAGGGCCTTATTACTGTTCATAAACCATAATAGAAATCTAAATTAAAGTGCAAACAGCAAAAGGCAGCACTGTTCAAGTTAGTGCAAAACAGCAATTGATGGGATCAGAATGACAATTAAGCAAATGAATTCTAATTAAACCAGGAAAATATGCTTCCAGATTAATCTCCTGTGGTAAACTAGTAGACCAAATATTTATTATGCATGTTTCCACAACACTTAAAAGAAAAAATGAACATATAAGGAGACAAAAATAAGGTCATATTTCAGAGTCACATCATGCCTTATCCCATCTCAAACTCATCATGTTCTTCCAATAATGCATGTCTCAGAAAGCAAAGTGTACACAGCACTGAAAAATAGGTGAAAAAGCTACTTTATCTGTTTTAATTTACTAGCAATTATCTTTTGGTGATCATGCTTTGCTGAACTGTTGTCGAAAATATAAAAAAAGTTTGAATGCATGTAAACAGACATTTACCTATGGACTATAACCCTATGCAAGTTTTTATCTTGTATGACTGAAGTGATGATATGAAGCACAAAGGTCTAACCCCCCCCCCCCCCCCCCGTAAACCCATTCAGTTGAACAAGCTTACCTCACTTCTGCTATTAGATTTTTAGTCAGCCTACGTAAGAGAAAAAGAGAAATGCTTGTGCTAAGATGGTCCCTGCCATCTGCCTAAGTGCAGCAGGGTAATCAGGGTGCAGGAAAAGTAATTGTCCTTTTCTTTAAAAATGCTTCCTAATTAATCAGGAATGCCTTTTAGTCAATAAAAGGGTTTTTTAACCAAGTGGTCTAACTCATCAATCAATGAAAGGTTGCATCTCACAATTTAAAACTTTCTTTTATTCAAAAATGATGAATGCTCAGCTGCCACAAACAGCAAATGCAGTGCAAATCTGCACTCGAAGCAGAGTTTGCATGATTGAATTCTCCTTCCTTAAACAACAAACATAAAGTGAGCAAACACAAGGAAGAACTTCCCTGAGTATGGAAAACTAAACATCAAAGGCTTTGACCTAAGACTTCTCATGACATGTTACCTTTCCATATGGAGGGTTTGGGTTTTTTTTTTTTTTTTAATGAAGGCACATTCTCTCATGTGAGTTGTACCTGCTAGTTAAGGTGGTACACTGCCCAGGCAGATATCGACTTCTTCTTTCACTGTTGTAAGAACTAAATTGGAACATTTCCAAATTCCCTAGAGACCAGGCATTGAATTTATGATATGTATGCAGCTGCCAGCGCAAACACCTACTCTGCATCAAAATGAATGAAGTGACCTCACCACTCCATGCTTTTCCTCCCTTACACAAGCAAGAGACAATGAACTGGAGCAAAGGTGCTCAAAGCACGGGCATTAGCTGTGTTCGCACAAAACACCAAGACAGATTTCTGGAGAATTCCTGGCTTACTGTTCACTTGCTGCCAGTTGGCTCCTATGACCAGTGGACAAGTGGAAAGAAACCAGCAACTTGTAAGCAAGAAAACCGAGAACTATTTCCAAACACAGACTTCTGGCTTGTTACTTTATTGTTTTCTGTGAAAGTTCCCTGTCATCTTAGGCTCTAATAGAGAAGAGCTGCCAGCCTGCAGTTTAGGTGTTAGGCATGTGACTCTTTCCTTGAGGTTACCTTATACTGCTTCATTGCAGCTTAGTATTTCTTTTGAAATAATTATGCATTGTTTTAAAATAATCTCTTTAAATAACTGGATTCAGAGCAGCTAGGGGCAGCTGGGGCAGCTAGCACAAGGTCCCACAGTCCAGAGAGCCCTCTCCCCACAAAAGGGGAGGCTGAGTCCCCTGGGACTGGCAGGTTATCGTGGCAATGGCAAATAGACCTGGCACCCTTATCTAGTCTGGAATGGGCATATTAAAACGGGACAGATCGACTGTTATTTTTTACTTTCTACTATCTTGTTCTACCAAAAAAGGTGCTAAAAGCAACAAACTCTAATGCCTTACCATACCTGTGATAATGCTTTGATTTAAGTAAGTTTAAAATCCAAAACTGCATGTGGTAAGATTATTTATTCAGTTCTTTCTTTTACACTAACACATCATGAATGTTATAGTCAAGGCTATGGTTTTCCCAGTTGCAACGTATGGCTGTGATGGAACAGTTGAAAAGCACGGAATGATCGTACTATGTGCGAGCTAACAAGTTATGTTTTTTGTGTATTTTAAGTCTGAAGTAATACACAAGGCTGTCTAAACGGTGAATTCCGTAAGACCATTAAGTCCTACATCTACAATGAACAGCTGTGGCAGCTTCCACCACTGAACAGTGGCTTCTCACCATCTGATATACTGTACATAGTCCAGCCTGAGACCTGAGAGTAATTAATGGAAATCATACTCTTGAAATGTCACCTTGAGTCTATCAGTGTCCAGACACTTGTTACTTGAAATACATTTTTTTGTTTTTCTTTTGCTTCAAAATTTTCCCGATTTGTAAGGGTTTGGGTTCTTTTAGCTGAAAATGTTTTGCACCTTTAACAAAATATTTCTAAAGCAATATCTTGTGATTTTATTGCATTTTATGAATAGTACTTTAGACAGAATAAAAGGCTCTGTTTTAAATGCATTTATAATGATGAATTGGCTCTGCAGAGACCCTGTAAGAAGACAACAGAAATAGTGTTAGGTTTTTATGAAAAAGTAGAAAATGCTTTGGTTTTCACAGCAGTGGAAATATAAGGTGGCTTGCCAAATGTACTTTCTTTTTCTTTACAATTGCACAGTATTGACACCATTTGCCAATTCTTTCACCAAAGGAATTTTTTTAAAAAATCATTTATTTATTTGATTTCTACCTTGTCCCATTAGCCACATGGCTCCGTATTTTAGGAATAGCATGTGTTAACTACTTGTTTTGTACTAACAACCATTACCAGACGGTATCATCTCTACTTTGCCAATGAAAATGCACAAAAATGAAAGGGAAGATCTGGAGCTTTTATGTTCTGATAACTTTCAATGAGGTCTGAGTATATAGATTTATGAAAACCATACCTATTGCTATGAGCCATTGTATGATTCATAAGCCTGTAATTCTTTTACAGATCTTTATGAAACCAATAGGTTTTTCTTTAAGTGAAACACTTTTAAGGAGTCACTTGCACTGAAGGAAACACTAATCAATGTTTTTATATTTTGTTTTTAATGAAATAGACAGCAAAAGTATTTTCAGAAGCAGGGCATGCATTTATATAATTCGCCCCAACTTTTCTTTATCATCCTCTTTTTTTTAAAGTACTGCTGTAATATGGCCCAGAATCATAAAGGAAACTCCCCCTTGGCTGGTTTCTCTGCTCAGCAAATGGAATAGTTTAATACATCTGGCAAAGATGAGGAAAATACTGTCCTTGGATGCAATTGCCAAACAACATAAGAAAACGTTATCCTTTCTTCCTCTATGGATTAGAATGCTTTAAATAGATATTTGACAGGCTGTTTCACAAGAACCAGCATTCAATTCTTAACAAAATAAACAGCTATACTTAGCCCCTCTCCCAAACTGGAAAACAAACGATCATTCCTGCATCCAGTTTGCCTTACTTTTATATTACTGGAGTTTAGGCATTGCCATCTGTAAGCGCATATATCTGAAAGAAATGGGACAAGGAATTATGCCAAGCCCAAGGGTATACACTGACTGGCAGAGGGTTTGCAAGACTATGGGGAAAGATTTTTCCCTGTCATTTTTATCAGAAATATTTTTTTATTTTGAGACAGAACCTGAGCCCTTCTGCATGCAAAGGTTGTGTTATGCCTCTGAGCTTTGGTCCTCCCTTTTAATTATCTCAGCTTGAAAGAGTGCACTTGCAATGTCAGGGGTGCTACAGTTCCAAATTCATTTGGAAATCATCAGCACTGGTTCAAAGAAGCACATTTCCAGGTAAGTATGGTGAAGGCTGCAGCCTTAAATAGGATCAGTCTCTGTGAAAGACAATTCTAGCAAAAGGCCGGCCGGCCTTCCTTCCTTGGAAAAATGGCTGCTTAAATGGGAAAGTGATGTTTATGATGAATTATGCCATCTATTCAATGCAAATGAAGTTAAAGCCTTTTACCCCAGGTCAGAATAGTGATGACAAATTATACTTAGGTTGCAGAAAGAGTGCTATGTTTCAATAACACTGTCTTTTGTGAGTTCCCTAGCCTTATTTTATTTTGTTTAGATTTTTTATTTTAGTTGAAGAGCTCTTCATCTTAATAACTTATTCATCATTTCAGTGGTAAAATTAACAGAATTTTTTCATCTATTCAAAAGAACAAAAATCTGAATAAATCAGGATGCCATTTGTTATTTATAATGACAGAGCAATTTTATTTGGACAATGATAAATTAAGAGCTTTTGCAATGTTGGTGTACAATTTTGGGAACTTAGTTGCAGCATCACATATGTTGGAAAATGTAGGATTAATTTGCTTGGTGACTCTTAGTGGTATGTAGTTTTTATTTGTCATCGTGATTTTATGTAATTTATGTGATGTTCTGTTTGTATGTTAATAATATAAAAAGTTTTGTAAAATATATCCAGCTATACAGATAACATTTCAGCACTTTAAGATGTTACTAACAAAAGTTCTACTATTTATTCCGTTGAACCCTGAGCATCCCCTCAGAAATTCCTACAGGGATGCCTAAGGTGATGAGAGGACACACACACACAAAAAAATCTCTGTCTGTTTTTGCTATTTGTACATGTCCAGAAGCATTATCATTAAAAGGGCAGTATGTCCTCTATTGATTTCTACATATTAGTGGAACAAAATGTACAATCATATACAACTCTACCCAGAATCAATGCAACATGGTTTATTTCCAGACAAGT